GGTTGTTGGTGGGAGCCTCTCCCGCCTCCTCAGCAGCACTAAGGATGTCCGACTGCAGTTTAGGCCTGCTCCCCGCTGGCAAGTGGACATCCCCCGAGGGCTGCCGTGCTGCCAGAGGGATGTCTGATTGCCATCATAGGCCCAATCCCCTGGGGAGCAGGCCTAATCCAGCAAGTGGTCATCCCCCGAGGGGTCCCAGACTCCAAGAGGGCACAGGCCGGGCTGAGGGACCCCCACCCCCTGAGTGCACAAATTTTTGTGCACCGGGCCTCTAGTTAATAAATAATAATACAAGAATAAATTGCAGTTTGTGTACTCACAAACTTTGCCCCATCTTGTATTTTGTAATTATGCATTCACACATTCATGGATTCATCCAATTACAAGTTTCAATAATGTGTAAAAAAATGTTCTTGTTGACCTAGAAATGCCACTTTGTATTTGAGAAACAAAAGATATATACATAGTACATGTATATTTTTCATATTAACAAAGGTGGTTTTTATAGGCCTCTAGACATCCATGAATGAAGACAAGAAAGGATAAAACGAACCCAATCACCTGAGCCTGGAGCATTTCCTTCTGTTCTCTGAAAAGAGCCGCAAGGGCGAGGCCCTGCTTTGGTGTGTTTGGGGTTTGCCTCTGTATTTCTTTCTTTTTTTAAATATATTTTTATTGATTTCAGAGAGGAAAGGAGAGGGAGAGAGAGAAACATCCATGATGAGAGAGAATCATGGATCGGCTACCTCCTGCACGCACCCTACTGGGGATCCAGCCTGCAACCCGGGCATGTGCCCTTGACTGGAATCAAATCTGGGATCTGTCAATCCCCAGGCCAAAGCTCTGTCTACTGAGCCAAACCAGCCAGGGCTGCTCTGAATTTCTGTAGAGAAATCCGTCTGCAGTCAGGGGTGTCATGGAAATGCTGACACCCAACCCCACAGCCTCCTCCTGCTTCACATGGTTCTATTGCTCCTGGGAAGTCAGGCCTGTGGACAGAGGAGAGAATCCCACGGGTGGTGCACTTCCTCTGGGCCCCGATGCTACACTGCTCTGAGCACTCACCTCACACAAGGCCACAGGATCGCTAGTGTCCCTTCAAATGGTGCCAGAAGTATGTATTCTTTTGGACAGGAGAGCTACACAAGGCCACAGGATCGTTAGTGTCCCTTCAGATGGTGTCAGAAGTAGGTATCCTTCTGGCCAGGAGAGGCTTAGGTCCCACCTGTGCGGCGGCACTCCTTTATCCTGTGGAGGTTAAGTGGGGTGCGTGTCACAAGAGACCTGGGAGATGACATCCATGCCCGCACCAGGCCTGAGGAGCAGTGAGCGTCAGGAAAATCACTAACACAGAGCAGAGCATGTGGATGGAGAGGGTCTGGGCACTGTTTCCCTTGAAAGTTTGTGTGCTCAGGCCTCTTCAAACAGTTCTGCACACATTTCAGCTGGAAACCCAGTTCACTGGGCAAGCTCTCAGCTCTCTCTCATAAGCAAAAATGTTACGATCTTAGGGGTTTTGAATATATACGAAAGTACCCAAGATGGTAAACGAACTGGAAGGCGGTAAATGAATTTGAAGTTCTTTAAGATCCCTGTATTGTTAGAGGAGAGAATAAAGTACTAATTAATTCAAGAATTTAACTAAGTTCCAGGTTGTATGCAGTCTCTAATGTCAGAATAAAAACTAACAGTTGTCTTAAAGTACATAATTTACATGCTAGTGGATGGGGGAAATATAATTTTAAAACAACACCTGAGCCCTGGACAGTGTGGCTCAGTTAGTTGAACATTATCCCTAGGTGGGTTTTCGTTCCCCTCACTCTCATACACGACTGGGAAGCAGAGTGAGAATTCAAGATCTCCACTAGCTTCAGTTTCTCTTATCGCCCTTTGAAATTTAGACCTGGAACTCTTAGGAGCTGGAGGACCTGGTTTAGGCTTCCTTTCTAATTTAGGGAGCCTGTTTTGAATGGGAGGGCTTTTCTCCTCTCTACTGACTGGAAAGGACCAAGGGTCATATTTATGATATTTATTGTCCTTTCGATCAGTAGGCATAGCAAAATTGCTCTTAGATTGGCCTGGAGACAATAATGATGTGTCCTCTCTAGGTGGAGCCGAGGGACTATTTAAAGTTTGAGAAAGTTCAACCGTTTCTGCCTCTGGTGCCAAGGTGTCAAGAATTAAATGCCAGAGGTAAAAAAGGGACCTTCTCAGATCTATGGAATCTGTAATAAGTCTTTAATTGCTCTCCTACTTCAGTCCACGTTTCTAAACAGTTCCTTCCTCAGGAAACCATGAACAGACTTCTTGTATAAAACGTTCTGTCTGACTGGGAGTAACCTTAACTTCTCTGGTAGCAAAGATATGTTTTAAAAGATCAATACAGAGTCTTCTTTCTTTCAACTCAGTATGGCCCATCTTCTCAATCTAGGTTCTGTACTATCTACCCTCTTACCCTACTTATCCTCTATAGGGGGATCTGCAGCACCCTACGATGGAGTCCTATCAATCCCAAGTGCGGGGGGGGGGGGGGTT